ACCGTTCAGAATTTTATCTAGCTGTCCGTTTACATTAGTACAGGTAACCCCCGTATAACACGGCACTTCTATAGCACGGATCCACTCTAACACGGTTCGAGAATTGGTACCATCCCCCGTATAACACGGTACTTTTATAGCACGGATTCACTCTGACACGGTTCGAGAAATGGGTAAAACCCTCGTACAACTGAAGTACAAATAGTTCACGAAAATAATAATTTTCGTGAACTATTAGTACTTCAGTGTGTAAATGTTCTTTTCTCGTCTCCATACACAAGGTCCTTCGCGAAAATTGTTTCAAATTTGCCATATCTCGACGCTTCTGCTTCTGGTGTTGCCAGATGTTTTTCCCTTATTCCTTAAGTGCTTAGCACCATATAAGGAAATTTATAAAGATCTTTTAACTAGAAGCAAGCAATCTAAAATTACATACACTTTTTGCAAAAGGTAAAGCATGAATCTGAAAATAATGCAGAAAAATGCTCAGAGGATAACGATAACTTGCCAAAAATAAAACGCTCTCGGTTAATAGTGCTTTTAGTGATGACAAAGAAAACATTGTTTAATTTATATTAATACGTATCACTGAAGAAAATTTTAATAAAGATATTTATCTTAATTATGAAAATATAGTAGCATGTATTTTAATTTTTGGAACCTCCTCCTTTTCGTACTAGTTCTTTGTTTCGTATAACACGGATTCGCATAACACGGCAATTTTTTGGAACGTAACTACCGTGTTATACGGGGGTTACCTGTAATATGTTTGCATATTGTCTCTAATTATCGTTTCAACTATTACCGGTAATTTTTTACAAGTTAGCGTCTAAGGCCTTTCTGCCATTACGACATGTAACTCATTTTCATTCCCTTTGCTTTCCCAAACTGAACCAAGACATACTCAAAATTAAAGGAAGTAAAATAAATAATTACTTACCGTAATTGTCAGACTTGATATATAATAGAAATATGTCAAAAATGTAAGAAGGATAATCACGAAGAATATTCTTAAACTGTATTTTAAGAAGTCTGTCATTTCATACGATTGTAACAAGATTTTTCCTAACGAAAACTCACTACATATTGTGACAGCGGTGATTAAAATAGTGTATTCATTTTGGATAATGTTACTAAGTTTTAAATTTTCTTTAGCATTTTGTAAGCATTTCCATATTGTTTTGATTTCGTTATATCCTCCATTGTCGTCTTTTATACGTTCGCACAAGTTAGCAAGCTGCATCTTCAACAATTCGCCTAACAAAATTAGAAACACTATGTGCGCGAAGTTACTCATACTTATGTAAATGTAATTGATAATTTGGAATATTAAACATATCGAATATTTAATTGTCCATTGATTATCAATTAATAGAGAAAACTGTGAGCTAATTACTGTTATTACTAATACGCTTATCACAACAACCAGAATTACCCAGATAATAACTAGTTTCTTTTGAAATTTTAGGAGTTTTGCTAAATGAATACGTCTGAATCTTTCCTCATTAATGATTTCACTCATGACAATTTGATACGATTCAAAGATGCTTCTGTAATCTTTCGAATTCCATGTGTGCAAGTAGCGTAAATTGAACACGTTTAAGAGCAGAATCAATAATCTGATATACTTGGCATTTTCTTTATAACTTCCGCAGCTATCGCACAGAAACAGAAGATAGTCATTGTTATTCATATAAAGAACAATGACCAAGCTTGCAATATGCATCATAAAAAACAGTTTCAACGTCAGTACATAGAAATGTGTACATTTTCCTCTCTTTTCGCAATTGAGAGAAATATCTGCTCCACTGAATTTCATTACTGTGATAATAGGAGAGAAAAGAACATCGGGGGATAGCCTAATTTCGTTCATCTTGTTGTATCTTAAACTTAACAACTGCGTAGAATACAAACACGTGACATTCGTGAATAGATTCCAATGTTGCTAGGAAACATTTCGTAAGTGTTTCACTGCATTTTTAGCATTATCAAAACGTGTCTTGAAACAAATGTTTAATCGTTAGATCAATAAAATCAATTACTTCTACAGAAATGGGTATTCGAATTTTTACAACATAATTGTTTTACAACATAAAACAAGCCCGGAAGGGGTTCGAAAACGTTTGTTTTTTTTTCGATGTTTCGTTATCACATCGTAAATGGTTCCGAATCCGTAATTATAAGTAATTTCGGTGTGATGTATAGTTATTTAAAGTTTGTATATGCACATTAGATCTGTTCGATGAAGTTCAGAATAAAGCAGTGTTCGTTGAGAAAAATATAATTGGAAACGTCTCACTACAGACAAGAGTGAACTCAAGTCATACAAGTCGAGGTAGTACAGTACATTTCAATTTATGTAAACACCAGAATAGACAGGGATTAGAAATCTCTTGTTTGACTGCCTCGTTTTTGAGCTCAATTCCGTGCCAAAATCCTATCACTTATCCACTGTCCCTCCCACTCCAAAGAGTTATTTAATTTACTTAGCAGCGTGCCTAACGCTCAATTTTAAGCTGGTGTCAGGAATTCTGATTGGAGACATAGATTTTATGAACGCCTTGTCTCCACATTTTTTTAGCTTATAATTAAAACCATAAAAAAAAATAAAATTAAAAATAGAAGAAAATTTTAGAAAACCTATAAATTATTTATATATTTGTAAAAGGTTTTGGATTTATTAGGACTATGAAAAAAGCAGTAGTGAAGATGCTCTCAATCTTTTTCAATCATCAGGTTCGGTTAACTTAAGAATAAATTGAACTATATTTTGCTGTTATGTGAAAAGTCGCTTCTGAAACCTAATTCTGTTCTAAAACTATGACTTTGCTTCTAATTAAGGTATAACTTCCATTCAAGTTTTGTTGAGCTCAGATAATGTTACTTGTTTATTTAGTTAAGGGATTTTGAGAGCGGAATTGATAATGGGGTTTCGAGAGCAGGAGTGATAACACGGCGCAGTAAGGCCTGAATTACGTTATTTAGATGCGTAAATACTCCAATTAGAGCTCCCATTTTTGGTTGAATGACTGGTGGCTAAGGAGCTTGACATTCAACATGCCTTTATTCCCATGTCCGTAATTATAAACCATGCCATTTTTTCTGGTAATTACTGTCTGTCTGAGTAGCAATAGGACATTAAAGAGACGGTTCAAAGCCAGAATTACGGCAAGAGTACTCGAGTGGTTTCCCCCACCTAGACTCTTCTATCTCTGCAAATACTGTATATATAAAAAATAAATATATAAAATGTAAATATATTTTAATTGAATTATTTATCTAGCGTTAATTGTAAATTATATCACATATATACATATACAATATATATCATAAGATGTACAGTACATCAACCACACATTTTATTTCACCAAGTAAGTTTATATAATTTTATTTTTAATTGTAGCCCTTATATCGCGGCTAGCGATTCAGAATGTAATTGTGATATTAAAAATACATTTAAAAGTCTATGGTTTTTACTTGTATATCGAACAAACGAATACGACTGGACCCTAGATTATCACTGACTAATTAACTAATTGCCCCTGGAAGACGGCTTCTTACAGAAACACAGCTTCTCTATCATCAAATGTCACGGCAAGCCACTGCTGTTGACTGCAATAGGTGAGGGTACAGGTGTTGATGTAGCCAACGTTAGAATGCTTTTAATTACATCTGTAAAATAATTTTTATTCCGTTTTTAATTTTATTTTGTAATAGTAAACTTTATCATTTCCATGATCTGAGCAATCACGAATTTCTGCTGAAATCCATGATTACTCTTCAATATCTATTTTCATATTATGCGTCTGCCTTGTTATATAAGTAAAAGTCACCAACAAATTAAAGAAGTAACATGTATTTGAGGCCATCATCGTCATCTTTAACAGCATCACAGTTTGACAACTTGCGCGTGACGTGGCAAACATCATTGAACAAAACCACAGCTGTGAATCAAGTTGAAATTTTCTAAACAGAAAGTTATTCTGCTCTGGAAATAAGAAACAACTAACGATTTAATCTCTCCATTAAACTGCGTTAGCATAAATTGGCTCTAATTGCAACGTGGCGCTTAAGTAAGATTGATGTGTTTGAAGTAAGTCACATAAATACGTAATTGTTCGAAACGTCGAAAATGACAGCCCAAAATCAGGTAAAGTATCAAATTTAAAGGGTGATCTAGATTAATTACTTTTTTCAGCATTAATGTTCGTAAAGTTTCTCGGTCGGAAGCTAGAATCGTTCAATAATTTTGAAATTGTTAACCAATTACTCGCCATTAATTAGAAGATTTGACGAATTTAACGAGGGGGACTCGTCGAATTCACGGGAGCAATCAGTGACCATTATCGATAATATGTTTGAACAGTTTGACATTCTAAACGTAGGCTATATCAGCACCTGCACCCTCACCTCTTAATTACAGTCAACAGTTAATACTGCATTTTTTATAAAAATCGTAACAGATGGCTTCACCACAATTTTACATTTTTTTTCGGGAAAGTTACTCTACTTGTTGCTATATTTGTTGTGGTCTAAACTATCTGAATTATTTGATAAATGAGCATACAAAGAGAAGCGAAACTTAGGATTTAACAGTTTAGGTTTGGTTTGTTTATCAACAACGCGACACGCGGTCGTTCTGCTTAAGTGGTATGCCTCTCAGCTGAATTTTTAAGGAAAACTGGTCCATATTTAGGTGCTACAAACGTAAAGAAAACACGGAAAATTCCACGTGCCAGTCGGTTGGCGAGGTGCGAACCCATAATCAACTGTGTTCAGTGGTTTTATCCACCGAACACTGATGGGCCAATGCTATTTTGACTTGGTCTTTTTGATCGTGTCGGGAGTTTGAACTGGATTTATTAAAAATTTACAATGCTGTACATTTTATAATATATATTGTATATGTGTAGCCTATATGTGATATAATTTACAATTAACACTAGATAAATAATTCGANAGAAACTTGAATATATACTTTCGTTTCTTTGCCCTAATCGGCATCGCTGGTCTCATCTACTGGAGACTTTCAAGTTAGTAAAATTCATATTTTAAAAACTAATAAGGCAAAGACTCCACTAGCGTAAAAAACGGACGTAAAAACCTTCGCTGTAAAAACTTTTAATCACGTGACCTGTTTGCGTTTGCGTCTGAATTGCGGTGGAGGTCCGGCTAGCGAAGTTTTTACGGCGACGGTACTATAAAGACAATGATTATATTCTACAAGTTTTTTTCTGTACTATAATTACAAATATAGTAAAAATAATATCTTTACTTTCATATATTAACTTTTATTAAGGTATTATTAATTAAGATAATATACAGCACATATTACGCTTAGCTTTTTTCATTGTATACTCCTCTAAATTGAAGGATTTTCCTTTGGCCGCCCGTATCGCATGATTTAGGCATCCATTTTTATAATTGGGATACTTCTTGTCGTAAATACACGAATACTTTCGGATGTTTTCGATAAATCTTTCCATATCTATTCTAGAGTAGCCACGAGGGAACGTACACAAAAGCTCGTTTTCCGCCATTTTCGCACTGCATCACAATGACCTAGATTTAACTGACTTTTAATTGGTGGATGGTACCGTTTTACGGCTGTATTCGCGTCCAAAGTTGAACACTGATCAACTCGCTTTTACGCTGGTTTTACGACTCGCTCAAGCGTAAAATATTAGGGTCACTTGATTAAAAGCTTTTACAGCGAGGGTTTTTACGCCGTTTTTACGGTAGTGGAGTCTCGGCCTAAGCTGAATCAATATAATTTTTATATAAAATATTTGTTTTAGTTTTTTGAGTGGAAAATGTACGCGTTATTTGAAGCAGTCGACGATGTATTTTTCGTGGAAACTTCGGGAAATTTTTTAAACCTTCGTCAAGCGTGCTCCATCGAATCAGCCGCCATTCATCACAGTCAATCGTCAATTAAAGTGATGATTTTAAAGGACACCGACGTTGCTTACGGTTTAACGAAAATGTATCCAAATATTAAAGTAAATCGAATCCATTTAAATGATACCTTCGAAGGAACCCCTTTGAAAACATGGTTTAGAAGCAAACAATGGGCAACGAGTATATTTAGAACAAACGACATCAGCGATGCGTTACGAATAGTATTAATTCGGGAATTTGGAGGAATATATCTAGATTTGGATGTGGTAGTCCTGAAACCTCTTTACAATATAAATAATTTCGCGATAATGCAAGATAAAGCGACCGTAAATAATGCAATTTTTCGATTCGATCAAGGGCATAACTTCCTATACAAATGTTTACAGAATTTGGAGAAAAGTTACATGAAGAACATATGGGGCTCTATAGGCCCAAATCTTTTCACGAAAACTGTAAAGGACTACTGTAAAATCCATTCTTTTAGAAATCTATCAGCTTTGAATTGTGATATGGACGTTCAACCCGAAAATGCTGGTTATCCCATTCCTTATTATAAGTGGAAAGAATATTTTCGTCCACCTACCCCTAAAAATAAACACATATTGAAAGAAAGTTACGTCATTCACGTTTGGAATGCCAAAAGTAAAAACGAAATGTTACGGATTGGTTCCGGAAGCATTTATGAAAATGCTATGAAAGAAAATTGTCCCTTTATATATGAAAAATTAAAAAATGAAAACTGATGTATTCTGGTATATGATTGGTAGTAGTAGTGGTTTGGGAAGCTTTGATGACAATTTAATTAAGACTTGTGATCGAAAAATTTATTTTAATTTTATTTTAACAATAAGACAAAATAAAATAGGGAAATAGTTTAATATAATAATTATTTAAATTATATTTGTTACTTATTAAATATTTACTTATACAATGTTTTGATTTTGAAAATATCTGTTTTTTGTTTAATTAAAAATTGTTCGTAAGATAGAATATCGCAAAAAGAACAATGCTTTTAAAAATATTTATGGTAATAACAATTTTTTTAATATTATTCAATCTTAGACACACAAGAAGTTCGATATTTAAATAATTGTAGTTCTAGTTTTTAAAAAGAACACTGATAAACTGATAAGTCTTGATGTAAAAAAAAATATGTACCCAAATATAAAATGGAAATTAATAGAGGAAAGCCTAATTATATTAAATGTAGATAAAACTTTAATTAATCTGGTATATTTTGCATATACAAAAAACTATTTTAAAGTTAATGCAGACTTCTATCTACAGGAAGACGGCATCGGTATGGGATCAAAGATGGGGTCAAAATTATCTGAATTAGCTATGAAAAACATAGATGAAAAAATAAATAATATCCCAGGCATAAAACTAGTAATGAGATATGCAGATGATACACCTGTGTAATAAAAATATTGTAACACAATTTTAAGATGACATGTAAGTTTTTTATTTTATTGTTTTTCCTCCTCCCCTTTTTTTACTTCATATTTACGTGAACCTTACTTTGATTTGTATTTTTAACAGCACTGAAAAGGGGTTGAAAACATAAACTAACCCGAATGCATTTGAATAAAAAATTGTTTTTAAATAAACCGTAATGTTTTCTTAACCAATTGCTGTTTGATTGTCTACCAAGAATCATTTTTTGGATTACAAAGACGCTACACACGGAAATTGAAGGTATGGAGATGTTTGAGGGAAAATAATGTTCCAGAAAAATATGTTAAGCTCGTCAAGGAAATGTACGAGGGAGTAACGGCCTAAATTAAGAGCAGTGTGGGCATTACAGAACGGTTCTTCGTTAATGTTGGTTTACATCAGGGATCGGCCCTTAGCCCTTATTTGTTTGACCTGATAATGGACGTGTTGGTGGGTGACGTGAAGTGTGAGGCTCCGTGGAGTATGCTGTTTGCGGATGATATTGTGCTTGTGTGAACTTTTCAAAACCAAGGCTGAGAAGAAACTGGAAGATTTGAGGAAAGTTTTGGAAGAAAGAGGCATGAAGATTAGCAGAACTAAAACAGCTTATATGACTCTGAATGGTAGAGACGAATGTAGTATTAAAATCCAAAATGTGCTGTTTCCTTTGGTTCAGAGTTTTAAATATCTTGTGGCATTTGTCGAAATGGAAGGAGGATTGAACTCGGAGGTGCCGCATAAAATTCAATGTGCATGAATGAACTGGAGGAAGCCGAGCGGTGTGTTATGCGACAAGAAAGTTAGCTGCAATCTAAAAGGAATAAATCAGTTTGTATAAATCAGTTGTTAGACCTGCAATGTTATATGGAGCAGAGAAATGGGCAATATCAAGAGCCCAAGAAAGATGGAGGTAGCAGAGATGAGAATCTTGAGACATGGATGTGTGAATAAGGAAGGATAGAATAAGGAATGATTTTATTAGAAGTTCTGTTAAGGTGGCCCGTTGAGCAAAAAGATGCAAAAATGTAGATTGAGGTGGTTTGACACGTAGAGCAAAGAAGTTGGAAAGAAGATCGGAAAACTGGTAATAAAAGGAAAGAGGAAAAAAGAAGACCAAAGATGCGTTGGAAAAAGAGAAGCCCTTAATAGGGAGAAATGGAAGAAACGTATTACAGAAGGAAACGCCGACACCATATAAACATGGGAAAAGATGAGGATGAAGAACAAGTTGGAGAACTATACTTTTCTATGTCAGAACTTTTATCTTCTGAAGAGTTTAAAATTTATCTGCCAAATCTGAAAATTTTGGTTCTCAAGGAAATGAATACTTCACTGTGTAATCAGTGAATGCTATATCGCAATTCATCTACATCTGCTTGGAAGCTGGAAAGGCCAACTTCAGGTAGTTGATACATCAGTTTCTTCCAGCAGTAGCAGCGTAAAATGGTTACATATATCATCAGCCTGATCACCCATTGTCATTATCAACTGAAGTTTAATAGTTTATTTACCATTAAACTGTGAAGATTGCAAGATGACATCCAGGCACCACTATTTAGGTGTTTTATTTTGACACCAAGTAGGATATGCCTACTACACAAGTTTTTGAGCGTTGTTTGGATGGGAATAATGTGGTCTTGTATGTGAGACTAGGAGTAAGAACATGAAGTAGGAAATGACAGAATTCTGTTGGAAAGGAGTCAATTGACACAGTTTAGTACACTAAAACATTAGATGGCACGATAGTCTATACAATACGTCAGTTAAGTAAGACATGGTATTTGTGGTTAAGCACACTATCATGACAGAGTGTGTGTGTTTGCAAACTTTTGGTACCTTAAGAATTTTGACAAATATCTCATGATGAGAAGCACCGGACAGTTATTGTATGTAGATTTTCGAAGTTGGACAATTATATTGCGTCTGATACAGTACAATATAATTCAAATGCCCTCAATTTTAATGATTTTTTTAGTGTATTCCTATTTTTTTATTTGTTATTTTCTAGAATAGTTGAATATAATAGATTTATTTCATCTGCTTATACTATTTCTATGAATTTTTTTTTTAATTAAAATAGTTTTTTTGGTGTTAAAGAAGCAAAATTTAAGATAACATTAATTTAACAAATTACAAAGCATTAAAATTCATTATTTTGTAATTTGAAATATCAATTTATAATATTTAAATAAAAATGANAAGAAAAATGACAATAGAGAAGAAAGTAAGCATCGAATTTCTCAACTTTTTCGCTCTTCACTGCAGGGGTACAGTTCTTCAGGCACAGAAACAATGTATTGTTCGAGGAGAATCCGAAATTCGGTGGCAGTTTTAGGTTGTAGGAAACGTTTTTACATAAGATTACGTAAATTAAATCCCTCGTCCATACTTAATTACGAATTGTGTGGAATCCGAATACACAAGAACTACATGGACAAACACATTTGTTCATGTATGATGAGCGAGATCTTAGGAGGAATTCTTGATCGCCTACGCGTAAATTCTCCACTGCTGCTACCTCGGATAGATTGGATGATTGACTAATCGAATGATTAATGGAAAAAAAAAATGTGGTAATCTCTTGTGTAAATGCTAAAGCTTAATTCAGATCATACACGAGGAGGAGTTTCTACATCCAGTACACGTTGTAATGATATATATATATATACTTTAATAAAATCACCTAATTCATCAATCAAAACAAGAATCATCTAAAATCATCAAAATCTGCGAGAGAATGAGCATATTCAGAAAACCAGTCTCTGTCAAATATAGATTCAAGTTGTTGCTGAATAGGTGAAGCATATGAACTATTTACATTATCAGCAATGAATCCAACACCTGCTGTTGATTTGAAATAATCTTCTGACCAATTCGATGTACCTGAATTGAAAAAAAGTAATAATATAAATTTTTAATGATATTTTAAAAACTGTGGACTCAAATTTTAAAATTAACAAGTAGAAATCAATTTCCATTGATATTTCATTTACTAATATTTATCAAATCATTAACATAAGAAATTTCAATATAGAAAATAAAAATATGTCTAAATAACTAATATCAATTTCATAATATTTATAATACTGAAGCATTTCCTATTATATAAATAAAAGAAGTAACTCAATTAAGAAGCTAAATAATACTAAATTTATTTAAAATTTGACTTTCTAAAGAAATTACATATGATCATCAAATATAATCAGAAAACAACAAAGTATTAAAAAAGATGAAGAGAATGGGATGAAGCGCAATGTCAATAAGGCTATTTAAAATTATTGAACTTTTACTGTAATTATAAGTTAAATGTCTATATTTGTGGGATTAAATTCTATAAAATTGTTGTGTGAAGTGAATATGGAAACTAAATACAAGAAGAAATGCATTGAAAAAATTAATTATATTGTTTTCAATCTCTCAACTTCATACAGCATGATTAAAAAATAAAACATTTTCATAGAATAAGGTTTTGCTACTGATTTATAATCGCTGCCTTTTTTTTCCTTAGTGTATCTTATAGTAGATTCATTTATGGCAATTTTTAAATCCACAATACTGCCTAAAAGGAGAAAATATTAAAGTTAGTTTTTTCTTTTAATCCTTATTAACTAAAAATTCTCTTATAAGACAATAAAAACATTCACAATTACATAAAAGGAAAAATGTTTATTGTCTGTGTTAAATGCACATGCTGAAATTATGTGAAAAACTAAGTCGTTATCCATTAACATGATGTAATAGTCAACAAGACGAATTGCAATAGAATATTTTAAGGAGAGAATTAAATCAATTTTAGTATTTTTATCTGTTTCATTATTTTTGTTAATCTTTCTATGAATAAATATATTTCATTCTTTGCAGACACACTAAGGTGACATATATCAACACTTGGCAACTTATTGACTATTTATTCAGTTGGAATAATACTGAATAAATAGTCAATAAGTTGCCAAGTGTTGATATATGTCACCTTAGTGTGTCTGCAAAGAATCAGCTTAGTAACAACAACACGGTTTCATCAGAATAAAAAAAAAAAAAAATATATATTTGAGTTTTGAAATATAAAAAAATGGTTGTAAATATCAAACCATAAATGTGAGAAATGTATAAATATAGAGGTTCTATTGTAATTTTATTGGCATTCCATTTTCTCATCACAAGGGAAAATAAATTTTCTTTATAATTATTGTAAATAAGAAAATATATATCATCGTTAGTTCTAATTTTAAGATTTTCTGTTCTTATATCATTTTATACTTTTATAAAATAAGACCATACAATTGTCAGTGTCCTGAGCTTATTGCTGCTCTGTATCACATTTACTTCAATGTATTTAAATGGTTTAAAGCAAGGTTGTGCAACTTTTTCATTTCTCTGGGCCACATTGAAAGAAGTCATAGAGCTTTGGCCACAAGTATATTATATATACTTGTGGCCCAATCCTTAAATATGCAAGTATATTTAAGGATTAACATGTCTAGATTATAGTAATAAGTATTAAAACTTTAACATGAAAAAGGATATTTTAAAAAATTACTTCTACAGACACATTCAATTTTTACTTAGAAATAGATAAATTCATTTATTACAAAAAAGACAAACAAAAATTTATTTGAAAAACACAAATATTTGTTTTATTTAGATTTCTAATTAATAAAAAATGACAAAACACCAGTATAAAGTACATGCTGATCTTACCTGTTTTCACCAAGTGCAAGAATTAGATCTCCCTCTTCTGAGACTAATAGAAAATTTTTAGATATCTGCTTACCACGCTGGGATAACGATAATTAAGATTCACAGTATCCACTAACCAGTGCATAGTACCACTAAGTGATGAATAACAAATGTTTTCATAACCCCTTCTGGGTTTTTCTTCAGGTTTACTAAATTTGAAAAATAAGCTGGATCTTCCTGAATCATTCATAAATATAAATTTGAACATAAAGTGAACTTATGCGCATGCGCTCCCCGTGTCAACTTTATATTTGATGAAACACTAAATATCATTGAGAATTTTTAGAAGGGTCTAAAAACTAAAAATATGTTCAATTTTCCACATAAATACAAAAAAGACATTTAAAATAATACAGTANATTACAAAAAAGACAAACAAAAATTTATTTGAAAAACACAAATATTTGTTTTATTTAGATTTCTAATTAATAAAAAATGACAAAACACCATTCAAAGTGCATTTTTATTAGACTAATATATTTATAAGTAATATGTAGCTCAAAAAGTAGCCAATGCACCAAATTATATTTTTTATGCCAAACTAAAAAAAAGGGTAACCAAATCTTGCAATGCTGGAAGAAATATTAAATAAAGCTGAAGTTGGGACTCAAAGGATTATAGACCCAAATGCAAGGAAAGGAGAGAAAGAACAAAAGATAAAGAAATGAGGAAGGTTGGAAAATTAAGGGTCAATATTTGCATAACAGAAGGTCTATATAACCTTTCTCACTACTTTTTATCTTTTGGCCTTTTTCTCCTTTCCTTGAATTTGGATCTAAATGCTGGAGTTGTGACTCAAAGGATTAATTTAGTATTCCTTCCTCATTCACACATTTCCAAGTATTTGAAAATATTTCCTTTCCACTCAAAAATAAAATATGTATAAAATCCTAAACCTTTATATATGTATAAAGGTTTAGGGTTTTGTGAAACTTCTTTTTTGAGTTTTATGCCATTTAAATAAATAAATAAATAAATAATTTGTTGATTTTGTTAACACATTTATTGGGCTGCATTGAAACTTGCCTTGGGCCACAGATTGGACACCCCTGGTTTAAAGTATTATGAAATGTAAGTTATGTTTTTTTAAATGATGTTAAATTTTAATTTTTAAGAAAAATTCTTTTGGTATTGAATTTTTATTTAATTGTACTGAAAAAAATCTATTGTATAAATGAATATTCAAAGGAAATTAAAAAAGCAGATGCAGAAATTAAATAAAATCACAATAATACTGTTAAATCATCAGAATATTGTAAGCAACTACTCAAAAACAAATTATGAACAAACTACCATTTATTTCATTACAGTTTTAATAGATGTTGTTCACAAAATAAAAGCATTTCCTTGAATCCCATATTACAAATATATTCTATTCCTGTACAGTAAATAAAAGTTAAATAATTATCTATTAGATCATTTTTATTTTACTAAAAGAAAAACTGTTAACTTATAATCACACAAGTTTATAATAATTATCAAATACTTTCACAGCTAACAAATTTCAAATGTTTCAAGATTAAAAGATCATTCAAGAATTTTCAATTCTATAAAATAAAACAATAATGGAATGTAGTTTAAAATTCAATTCATATATTAAATTATGTCTACAAAATCTGGAAAATTATTATGTCTTATGCTAATGGTAATTTTTCAGTTTTTAATTTTACTTTAATTTATCAAAATAAAGACAAAATTAAATTGAAAGATTTGAAGGAAAAGGAAATTCAAAATCTTTCATATAACAAAATATTTAATACAGAATTTATTTATTTAAGATGATAATTAGAATTATAAGTAATATCTAATTAAGTTTTTCAAAAATAAAATTTATTAACAATAATTAAACTATGTTGCAGAAAAACTTCAAAAATTTTAATCAGAAATCCTTTTAAAATATTTCTTTTCTACAAAAAATTATATTAAAATTATTTCTTACAAAAAATATATAAACAAGATAAACATCTTGTTTATAATTTATAATATAATACAAATGCTTAGAACCTTTTGAATATAAAAGATTTATATAATTTTCAATATCTATATATTAATAATACTTTAAAAACCTTCTAACAAATATGAAGCAAATAAAACAAATATAAATAAAATAACATGAGCAATAACAAATCTATCAGTATTTGTTTTTTATAATCATAAAAGAAATACAGCTTTAACAATATGAAAAGTTAAGATAATTAAAAAAATTTAGGCTATTATAAATAATTACTTATCAGTACATATAGACTTTAATGAAAGTAAAAGATTTAAATTGATACATCCAGAAGTGATGATAATTATTATTAGCCTTTTTTTTTAATAATATATTCATTCATCTACAAATTATCATCCTTAAACAGAGACAATGATGAGAATGATTGTTGGGCTGCAATTTTTTCAAATTGTAGACCTATAAATTAGCACTGTCTGTCATTTCTTAATCTTGAGAATGGAATTATATGGATGAAAGTTGAGACCAGATATGGATGTATACCTTAAGGGCAGGAGGACCTGATTAATTATATGTGAACTTCTGATTCAAACCAGAAGTCATGTTATTTCAATTCAAAAATTTCCTCTGAAAGGAGTTATATGACTGACATGACTCTATTGCTAACAGCAAAAGTATGATGTACAGGGGCAAGACACTACTAAATTTGAGGTGGAAAGCATATATTTTAAATTAAAAAAATACAATTAAAAATTGTAGCCCAGCATTGTGATGATGTCACAATAAATAATTGCTCTAAATTTTATACATGGCTTTTCAAAATATTTTCATTATCTGGGCTAGATATTTCAAATATTTTTAACTTTATCAGAACCCAAAATTATTCAAATTTCAGTTTCACTTCTAAAATCCAGACCTTTGTTAATAACTTTTTTTATTCCAAGATTTTTTGTCATATCTATAACATTTTGATATTATTTTACTAAGTTATACGTATTATTTTTGTTTATTAAATAATAATGTAATTTAATTATTTATTTATAATACTTTGTTTGTGACATTTTAATATATTGTCTGTACATAAAAAAGGTATTTACTATATTGTATTGATAAGTAGATAAATATAAACTAATTAATATTATATTTCATATTATTTTGTAAATCTCAAAAAATATTAGTTTTAGTTCTAAAAGCATACATGGTTTGGGTTTATTTGAATGAACTCAAAAATCATCTCTCAAAATTTACAGAAAACATTTTATCATCATCTTTATTAAAGGTTCTATATGCTATTATCCTATGTAAATGATGATGATAAATTATTTATGATCTTTTCATTTAAATAATAATAATAATGTATTTCTCTGCAAATATTTTTCATGTTTTGAAATAGTATAGGATATTTATTTTTAATCATATACATTCATTTTCAAAGTTCTTATTAAATAGTAATTTCTTTTTTACTATAATAATATGTAAAATATCATTTTTAATTAATTAATTAATGTTAAATTTTTACTTTACTTTTAATTTTAAAATAAGCAAATAAGTTTATTCTACTTTAAATAATTAGCTAGTTCAATATTTTCAACTTACCTATATAACCAGTTTTTTCTGTTACCATATATTTATTATGATTTACTCTGGCAAATGGAATTTTAGACTGCGATGGAGTAAAACTTGGCACAACAAACAATTTCTAAATAAATAAATAAAGATTCTTTTAATGAAATCTATTTAACATATATAAATTATTCTGAATAATGAACTCTCAGTGGCGTGCGGTGACATTCGATGATAAGGAAACTGTGCTTGCCCTGGATGGAATCATTTGAAGTGTTATATGATATTTTAATGCAGTGGCATAGCATAATGGGGGCAGCAGGGGCAGTCCACCCCGGACGGCACTTTTAGGGAATGGCAAAATTTCACAATAAATAATAATAATATCTTATAAAAATTTGAACCATTTCATTTCATATTTTTGTCGCATCTATGATTCAGACTGATTGAAATGAGCATGGAATTTTTCATTAGTTATTCTGTGACTAAACTGAATTTTAGTCTTTTAAATTGAGATACCTAAATAAGGGTACAGTGAAATTTTCCTCTGCCCCAGGCAGCTGACAACCATGCTATGCCACTATTTTGGTGTGTAGCATCCACAAGCTAAACCACATGATGTTGGTGCTCTGTAAAGTGCATGTGCGAATGCGTATAATCTGGCTGCTTTACGTGATTCAAATATTTTTGCCATGGATGCTGTCCCATATTCAACAATATGGTGCTTCCATTGGGAATATACATACATAAATTTATATTTGAATATACAATAGTAATTTTATCATTGTTTTTCACATGTATAGAAATTTCTAATAAGATATATAATGCAATTATAATAAAATATTAATTTTAATTAATTCAAAGTATGTTAAAATATGAAAATAATTGCACAATATGTATTTATATTTTAGAAAATACAAGGGTAGTGGTGTTTCCACAGCTTCCATGGATTGTACATCACTGTGATCTCTATATGAGATAATATGATATATTATTATGATCTCTAAGAAAAAGAATGTGTGTACGTGAATTTACTTTTATGTATTATATACTGAAAAAAGTACAAGACTAATTTACTCATTTTTAAGCATCTCATAATAATTTATATAAAATTCAATTATCAATTTTTCAAACATTTATTATCTGAAAAATACAGAAAATAAATTTAAGTAAAATTATTTTCACTGACCAAAATAAAATTTTATTTCCATAAAAAATAACTCATTGAAACTGAATTGATAATGTTATCTTAATTTAAATTTTTAAATATAAAAATAAAAAGAAAACAAAAATATAAAATATTAATGCATACATCTGAATTTTAAAATAAGTCATGAGCACGTCTAAAATCCTGAAGTGAAGTAAGCAATGGCTAGTTCAACTTTGTTATAAAATTAGGTTTTATGAATTAAATGGAGAATAAAAATATAAATATTAGAAAGGTTTAAACTTCTTTTACATTTAATTTTTATATTTATTTTCTACACAAATGCACATCTTATAAACTATTGCCAAAAACAAACTGGTAAAATTTTTTACAATTGGTCCAAAGTCAAAACAAAACTTAAATTTAAAATAGCTGATTTTAAAATTTTATTTTGTTATCATTGGATTAACAGAAAGATAATTTTTTTTTTTTTTTTCTGTTGTTATAAACAAAAGTAATAATTTATCTTAAATTTATAATCTTACCACTTCAATGGGAATTTCTTTGCTGTTTAGAATCTGAAGTGACTTTAAAAATGAAAGCATCACTGGACGAGTATGATTCCAGTGACTTATAAGCAATTTCACATTCACTCTTCGATTGATTGCTGCTTCCTTTAATGCATCATCTATTGTGGCCCAGTATCTGCAATAACATTTAGATAAACTGTAAATTATGTAAATTAGGTATTGTTAGTTGTTTATTACATTTTACCTTAAATGTTTTGAATAGATAAGTGCAGGAAAATAATCCATAACAGAAATATAAATGAATTTCTCAGCCTTATAAATTATATCAAGTATGCTTGAAAGATCTGTTGTTCTACTTTTGGGACAAAATTCAATGGGTGAACTCTGGAAATAATCAATCCTTTTTCTTAAAAAATTATGAATTGTTGTTTGATTTTGGAGAATTGTTTACTTACAGAGAGATATACATTTGTATATGAATCATTTATATTTAATAAAGCTGGATGATATTTATTGAAAGAAGTTTCAAATTTGGCAGGCCAATGAAGTGGAATTTTTTCCGTTTTCCCTAATAACCAATAGGCATCGAATATCTTCTTTAGATCTTTAGCTAAACAGCTACAGTTATACATAATAATACCCAACTCTTTTACCTTGAAAACAAATTTAGAATTTATATTATCATCAATATATAAACAACTTTATTTCATATTACATTTTCTAATTAAATGAGAATTATTTTATTTTAATAAGCATCTTTAATCACCTGAGTTAGAGCTCTCCAATCCATATTTGCACTTCCAATATAGAAATGTTGATTATCTATTATCCAAAATTTAGTGTGAAGGATTCCACTTCCAAGAAGTTTTGTAAAATTGAGATTTCTTACAGTAGCAGCACCTACGATTTGAAATAAATTTATGCTTCTTTATTTTTAGAAATTATATGATAAATAACTTACTCAAAATACACAATTGTTCTATTATTATATCCATGAAGTATAAATAACTCAGAAAACAGATTATTTATTCCAATATTTTTGAAATAAAAATATCCATTAATGATAATATTCTACAATTAGTCAAATATTGTCACATCAATGGCATTATACACTTTATTTTTTCAAAATATATTAAGTATCTTAATATCATTATATATAAGAAAAACATAGCATCATGAAGCAGACAGTAAAAATAATCTTAAAAGATTTTTTAAAATGATGAGATTAAATTGTTATATTTCCAATTAAACGTTATTATGAATTTTATTATGTTGTTAATTACCTCTGTACAGAATGATCTTGTTTAGTTCTTCCTTGATTAATACTGATTTGATATAATGTGGTCTGCTCTAAAAAAAAAAAAAAGCTCAAAATTTATGCTGATTTAAATTATTGTGGCATTTCATTGATTCGTATATAATATGATTATTTGTGAACATGAACTAATCAGCAAAAGGTGGCAAAAAAGTGTACTTTCTTTAAATCTATGTTTGTTTGGTGCAATTTTGGAAAAGATATATCATCATGGATGCCATAGGCAATATTGGCTTCACTTGGCAAGAATTAACTGATAAATGCATGAACAAAGTGTGGAAAAAGTTATGGCTGAAGGTATCCTAGAATTCCCAACGAGAATCACTGTATCGTTAGGTTGATCAAACTCAACCTAATCGATACAGCAAGACTAAGAGATGTAGACAAACAGGATATTGAGGAGTTACTGCAGGTTTCTGGTGAGAGCCTTACCAACGACAACCTTCAAGAACTGGCAGAATGTGGAATTCCTGTGGAATTGAAAAATAGAAATTCTGAAAATAAACCCAAAAATTTCTGTACAGATTTCCTTAGTAAAAGTTTGGTAAGATAACCAAAATTGTTGATCAAATTGTAGTGACTGATCCAGATTTTGAAAGGAGTGCAAAAGCAAAATGAGGCATTTTGGATGCGATCTTCTGCTACCTTAATTTGCTTAAGGAAAGAAAAAAGCAACAAATGAAACTTCATAACTTTTCTGAAATTCTTGTTCTTTAGCAATAAAGTCAGGACTTTCAAAAAGACCTGACTTTATTGCTAAAGAACAAGTCGAAGTAAACTTTACATTTCTGTGTGCATATGTTTGTGTGCTATTTAACATACTGTATATCATCATACAAATTAATATAAAAATAACTTAAAATTAAAGTAAAATTTGTTTATTTTTGGTCATGTGTTCCCCTATCCAGGGATCGGCAGTTTGTCAAGTGAGAAGAGCCAAATTGTCATGAAAATAGGGTAACAAATGTACCAGAGAGCCGCATATTAATTTAAATGTGCGAAATACAACACACGACAGGGGTGCCTCTAGTCGCTGTTTTTGGCATAACGTTACACGGATGGATGGACACGCATTCAATGCATTATATATATAGATATGCTTCAAATGCTACCACTCTTATGTGACTCATATTGATCAACATGAGTGTGGTCATGTTCGGACGGTGAACAAGTCAAAGTTTGTTCGGCGGCTCTATCTCAAACTCATAAGTTATAAGGCTGCGGTGAAATGAGGTGAGATGAAATTGGCGTTTAAGTCCAAAGAGCTGCAAATGTCTATGCAAAGAGCTGCATTAGCAGGGATAGGGCAGGGGTCGGAATTAGCGGCTCACGAGCCGCTAATTTCGACCCCTGCCCTATCCCTATTTACTCTATGTTAAAATTACCTTGTTTAATGCTGTCATTTTAAAGACGACAAAGCACTGTTTCATTTAGCGCTTTGTCATCTACGAACACATCCCGGCATTAAGCGAGGTCTTACTGTATTGCCATTTAGATAAGTTATTGTTTTTGATATATTATTGTTATAAATTACTATTTTGATTTAATCCATATCTAAATAATTGTTAAAAAATAGTAAAATTGTTTATTATTATAAGATTTTCAGTATTAAAATTCAATAATTTATTTTATATAATTTTAGTGAAACTAAACTTAATTTTAAATTGATTTTAAATCATTTATTTAGCTATGAATGTAAAAAATTCTTTTTTAAAAATTCTATTATACTGTACAAAGAAAAGAATTAATTAAATGTAATAAATTCAGAAATTTTAAGTTAATTTAATATCAAATTCATTCCTAAAAACATACTGACACAAGCAAAAATAGAATATCAAGTAATACAAAGAATACAAGCAATATTATTTTCATATAATAGTTTAAATATTAAATGCATAACAAAATTTAGATAGATGGATGAAAAAGTTGAAAAACAAAACTTAAATACTCAATTATTACTTATAACAACAAAATATAAGTGATGAATTATGATTAATCAAATCATCATCAATAATAACTTTAAAATTTAAAAGTCAGTATGAAGCATTACATTTATTTATATTTTCAAATATGTTTACAAATTACAATACTGTCATATTTATTAAAAATCATATTTAAGAATATCTCTAACTTGAGAGATGACTAAACAGCTACAAAGAAGTAGAATTTATCTTATATCTTTGAAGGGTAAGGTTTCAAATCTGGTCTAAAATCTGAAAGGTTTTTTGCGAGTATGAATAACAACATTGTTTTGTATCTTCATATTATGATGAATTCAATATGGATCAATCACCTCATAATAAAAATTTAGGCCAGTGATATAAATTGATAAAATTAGGTCAGTTAAGAAGACAAAATATCACAAATAAACCCAATTAAATTCGTAAATTGCAGTATTTATATAAGAAAAATTCATTTGATAAACACTTCATACTGAAAAAATATACTGTATTTAAACATATCTATTGGTAATTATTCTTTCAATTCTATATTCTCTGCTTTTTGTACCAATCAGATTAACTTCAGCCTTCAACTTTTATTACCTGTAATAATTCTCATATTCTTAAAATGTATTCAAAAGTTTATTATTGTTTTATTCTCATTAGTCAATTTATTGTAGCAGCCTAATTATCATTCATTTTTGTTTTCAAAAGTATTAAAAATTATTGTAAAAATTTCTTTTCATACAATAAAAATTTTCAATAAAAATTTCTTTAATCATACAAAATTCTGTCGTTTATTTAAAGTAAATTAATATTAAAATTATTTTAAAAAATTACACTTTATTAAATTGATAATTTCTCTAGAGAGTAAATATAAAATTTAATATTAAATTTTTATAACAGGAATGTGGTTTTGATTAAATATTTAAAAATAACACTAAATTTATTATATATAAATACTGTAAATTATATGTAAACTGTAATCTATGCATATATAATAAACATTGATAACTTTCGGAAACACAAATTGATGTAACTTTTTAGTAGAGTAATAAATGAAAAAACTTTTAATATATTGAATTGAAACGTTTATTTGAATCACAAATTTTCAATTTACAATATATCAAAAATAATAATCTCCTTTACAATATTAGTTATTAATTTGTTGCATTGGAATACTAAAATACTAATATACAAAAATCACAAAAAATGTTAAAAATATTCATTTTTGTTTACATTTAAGTTTCTTCAAAATGCATTCCTAAGGAATAATATACATGAGATGCAATGAATTCAATCAATATGCAAATTGAATATATTTTACATCTTGTTTATTTGATATCAACAAGTCAATTATTCAAATTTTCAGATGTTGTTTTAGTATGAACAAAAATTTTTTAAATTATTATTAAAAATAAATTTGAATATATGAATGTAAAATTTGTAAGACTATAATAAAAGATATAAATTATTGAATAAATAAAAAAAGTACGTAAGTATCATCATCATCATAACTAGATATAAAAACTAACTAAACATAAAGAAAATCATTGAATATTAATACCAAGAAAAATCGTAGTATTAATATTCAATGGTTTTCTTTTTTGTTTAGTTAATTTTTACGGTATGTAGTTGTGAGGATAATTATTTATAAAAAGATAATTGTACTTTTTTACTTATTCAATAATTGAGCTGCAATATTCCAATTGTAGACCTATACATTCCCACTGTCATCCTGCTATCCATCTTTCATTAATCTCCAAAATTGAGTTAGGTAGATGAAAATTGAGACTATATATATGGAAAGCTTATAGACCAGAGGCACCAATTAACTATTATATGAACTTCTGATCTGGACTGGAAGTAATGTGATTTCAATCCAAAATTTATGCCATATTATTTAGAGCAATAAATTTGGTATAGAATTGATCCTTACAATAAACTGAGATCAATAATATATTGCTTGATCCTCTAAGGCAGTGTTTTTCAATCTTTTTTATCTCACAGCACACTTGAACCCATAATTAAATTTCCATGGAAAAATCATGTGATTTAAAGTTGTTTTTGTAAGCATTCTATCACCATATTACTTGTCACTTAACCTAATTCTTTTTGTCTATATTTATTGTGAACTGAATAAAACAGCATCATTGTTCTTTAAAATAACAGCAGGTTAAATTATAGTTATTTGAATTAATAATTTTCATTTACACCAGAAAAGCAATTAATATTAAGTCTTAATTTGCATTTAAAAGTGGCACAATAATTGCCTTTAATGTCCAATGTCACGCTATTTCCAAGTTAAAATAATTTGAACTAAATAAGGACAATTATAGGTATATTTTTGATTTTAAAAAAATTTCATTTTAAATGAATAACCTATTGTTATGCACATATAATTTTGCTTATGAATATATATTTTTTACTACGTTTTGTATATATTTATTCATTATAATAACAAATTCTTGTGTAGTCAATTTAAAGAGGTTTTAATTTTGACATGTACAGTACACTTAATGTTCTTTGGGCTTTTTTCTAAAATAGTTTATTTAATAACTTTCAAAAATTTTTGCAGCACACCTAGGATCCTCTCATGGCACAACCAGTTGAAAATCATTGCTCTAAGCAACAATGTACAATATTCACATGATCTCATATTTTCTGTGATAAAAATGACATGAAAAATAAAGTCGTCATAGGGAAAAAATAATTTCAATTTCAGATTCAGATTTGAAAGTTATATTTCTCTTTATATTAAAATATGATTAAAAATTGCAGCCTGACATTGTGATGATGTCACAATAATATAGTTTATTATGTTTTTTTATTAGTTTTATAAATTTTGCATTCAAATAAAGCTAAACAAGATTTCAAATTTACATTGACATTCTACCTTAAATATATTCTTATATTAGATTGATAAACTTTATCAACTCTCAAAACAGATCAAAAAAAGAATTTTTATATTTTAATGACAATAGAAAATTATCTAATTCAGTAATTGTGTACACAATTAGTAAAAATAAATTTTTCTTAAATTATACCAAACAATAGACAATTTTTAAATTATTTTCAAGATAATACTTTCTAAATTAATTATAATATTTGAATAGTGCCAAGAATTTAGCAGTGTAACCATCTCAGGAATATTTAATGATTTAGATATCTCCAAAGTGGAATTCAACCCTGCATTATAAACAAGGTAGACATGCTATTAATATTCTATCCAGATCTTAAGCTAGTCTTTGTTATATATTAACTAAAGGAAAAGATTGGCTTGGATATTTAAATAGTGTGCCTACATAGTTGCAAGTTTGAGTTCCACTCTGGGCCCGTGATTCTCAACCACCATGCCACAGCACTTTAGTGTGCCACGAGATTTTTGAAGTGTGCCGCCACTGCAAATACCCATACATAAGCGATGTCAGACTAGTAGTTCAATTAGTTCTACCTTCCTAGGGCATGTTTGGAAATTGTAATCGGTGTTACCAGTAACTGCTGGTAGTTACCAAGGCATTTTGAAAACATAACCTAAATAACCAACTGCGTTTAAAAATCACTGTCATGATGTCACCGGTTATCCTGAAATACTTACCAAAGTAACTGTATGTGCCGCCAAATTTTTAAATTATTAAAAGTATACTGTGATAAAAAAAAGGGTTGAGAATCACTGCTCTAGGCTATTCCAGATGTTTCGAAAATTATTAAAAATTTAATTTTAAATCATCAAACTACTTAATTTTATCTCTATGTTCAAATTTATTAATCCTTTAATTTAAAAAATATCAATATCAAATATCAATCTTGAAATAGTTTAAAAATAATGTGATACTTTGTTTAACCTTTAGACTTTGGTTCATATTTGTTTTACTATAAATTTATATTAAATTTCAATTCGGTGTAAACTTTTGACATTTTTAAAATGAAGTTCAAAACAAAAATTATTGTTTAAAAAATTAATCAAAATTAACTGATATTACATCAGTTAATTTATCAATTATATATTTTATTCAGTAGGCTTTTTTTTTACAATTTGAGTTAAAGCTTAAGATAGAATTACTTTAGAACTTACAAAACAAATTAACAATCAATAATAAAATAAAAAATACATATTACTTGTGCACGCTTATATTTTAAGATGTAACAAGTAAATTTTATTTTTCATATTTTAAATCATCAACAGGCAGTTTTCATTAATCGTTAACAGACAAACAGGAAAATTAGTATTGTACTTTACTGTTAGTTTTATTTACTTTAAAGGATTTTTATTTTTAAATCAACCAAATCCTGGCATTTAGATCACTTGGTATATTAGGTGTTTGAATATTAAAATTTAATAAAGATTCTCTTAAATAATTGCATTACAGTATAAATATTTACCTTTTGCTTCTAATTCTTTAGTATCATTGTCAGAATAACTTTTTGATGGAATATTTTGTGCTATATTTATATTAATTTTCCGTTCAGTCCCAGCTTGAAGTAATTCTTTAAATATCATTTCACCCTAAAACAAATAAATTTATATTTTATAAAATTTGATTTTGTAAGAATTGCAAATTATCCTAATATTTCTACTTTATTTCATTCCTTTATTATACTTTCTGAATTACTAATTATAGATTTAATGTATTAAGTTCAAGCAACTGTAAAATTTTTTAATCAGCTTATAAATTCATCTTGCTAATAAAAATTGTTTATTTCTTACAATATAATTCAAAATTCTTTTAATGAATAAAGGTGTTTGAAACTTATGCAATGTAATTTCTTAAACTTATCATCTCATTACACATCAATGTTTAAATTTTAATTACATTAAAAAATGAATTTTCTGCCTCAATTATTCACAATATATTTAGCATAAATTGCACCACTCACAATACGCTTGATATTAAATATACCTGCTTACATACATATAAAAGCAAAATTACCATATATAGGCAATATTATCAGAAGAATGAAATCACTTTGTAAGAGACATGAATTTAACATCAATCTGTAATAATTGTAGAACTTTGCAGCTATTATGCAAATTATTATTATTTTTATTTATTTTTTGTTTGTTTTTAGTTTGTCACATATCTGTTTTTGTGCAGGTCCCTCTCTGTTTCCCTCCTCGATATCACCAGCTCTCTGCTGGCAGGTATGCAATGTGGTGATTAGCCCAAGGTGCAGTCATGTGGGACAAAGTGACATCCGTTGGCAGGCAGTATAAAAACAAGAGTAATCACGTGAAAGGGCTTTTTGTTGGTGGGATTTCTTCATATGTAGGTGACCAGAGGACGCTGCAGGTTGCAAGGACTAAAAAAGAGGTACAGGAGAACCAACCAACCATCCTAGGATTAAAGAAATCTTGAATCGAAAAGGAAATTCATTTTCATCAAGGCAATACATCAAGAGAAAAAAAGATCATCTAAAAAAAGTAAAGAACTAACTATAATGCCAACGTGACTAATGAATTTTTGGTCCCAAGGGAAATCTCATATGTTTTATTGTATACTCTTTTCCCCAACTGTTTATTTGATGTTACCTTGGTGTTATCGCTTTTTATGCAATCTATTGAAAAAAAGGAGGACTTCACATAAGGAAGGAAGGTCAGGAGAGGGAGAATCGGAATAGGAATAATATTGTAACACAATCAGACTCACAACTTTGAATCATGTATTGTTTCATTAGTCACGTATTTGTTCCCAATAAATCTTTATTTATAAAATTACACGCTGTTACACCAACTATTTGTTTTAACTGTTGTTGCGTTCAACCCCACAGACCATGTGCTATGGGAGGATCTACAGAATACTTTCATAAAGAATGAAGTAAAAGATATCATAAATAAAATTATTATACTACAGCTGAATTAATCAAAACATCTTTAGCAGTGGATGAAGTTGTTTAAACTTGTGTTACTTTGAAGCTAAAATAACTTGCGTTAGTAGATGAAACTTCATCCACTAACACAAGTTATTTAAACTTCAAGTTAACCCAGTTAATAGGCCATCTTCAGGCATAGATAAATTAAAAGAAGTAGGCTTTCACTTTCAACTGTTCATATCTGAAGATGGCCTGTTAACCAAGTCAAAAACATTGGAATGATTTAAACTTCATCCAGTTAAAGGTACATTATTTCAGCTGAGTAGTTCATCTCTATAACTATGATACATATTATTTTAGCTAATTTGTCCAAAATTATTGACAAGGTAAAATTTTTCAAAAAGAAACGAATATTAATTAAACAAATCAAATTCAGAATACAAGTCTTCAACTAGAAACTTCAACTTTTAGGATTTCAGATATATTAAAAAAAGAAAGAAATCTAACTTCATTACAATCAGTAGTATAGATTATTCCTACTTGATAATCAGTAGTATAGGTTCAGTCTCCCACTTGATAATTAGGGACCAACATTTCAAAACACATTTAAACCAATTTCTTTCAATTAAAATTAGTTTGTTTCAAAAAACATAAAACATTAACTGAGACTTTATTGTTCATAAAATAATATTTTCTTTGTCTTCTTAAACATAAAATACAAACATATCAAAGCAGATATGCATCAGAATGTATTCTCGCATTAGAAGAACAGAACTGAATCTAAATGAAAATATAACACAACATTTACACTAATTCATGGGAGTCTCTTGCACTTAAGATCTAAAGATTTCTACCCTACTGATTTCAGTCAATCTGTGACAACATGAATTTGACTCTAGATGGGTAAAAAATATAAATTTTTATATTAATAATAATAATCTATCAATACAAGTGAAATTATGTATAAAAAGTATCAAATAAAATAGAAATACAGAATAAACTTTAGATAAAAATGTCTGAGCCTACAAATTTTTGCTAGATTACAATTACTATTATTATAAATTTATTTTTAATAAAAAAGAAAACTGGTAATAACCTGCCAGTCAGAGGGATCTTGTATAACATCATTTCCCCTTAAAGTCCAATAAAAAGAAGCAATATCAATAGTATTCTGTGCCATACCAATTAAATTCATCCATCCTTCATAAGTTGACAAATGCTGTGGAGATCCTGCAGGATAAGTTAGATTTTCAGGAATGCTTTCCACTATACTTGCCCTGAATTTTAAATTAAAATATAATTTAATAATAAAATATATTTTAAAAATCATCAAAAGTACAAAAATGTATATTTTAATAAAATTTTAGTTACAGTCCACTTTTATAATTAATTTTACTATTATTTTTTCAAACAAAATTATAAATCGCTCATAAAATATAATAATAATAATCAAATACTTTCTTTTATAATATTTATTCATTCATAAAAGCAAAAATGTAATTTTTATTGTTTTTATTTTGATAAATTATTACACTTTTTGATAATTTAGATTAATTTTATTTTTAATATACTTTAAGTAAAATAGTCATTAATTTATATATATTCTTACTAGAAATTCACAATAAAAAAATATATATATATACAGTATAGATTATTTTTAAATTCTTTGTTTAGAATAGGCAAAATTTTCTAACAAAAACTATCAAGAAATTCTTTCAGNATAATTGATAAAATACAATTTATGAATTTTTTTAGCCATGTCAAGTTAAACTTTTATGAAACAATATCATTTACATAATACTGTAAATGTTTAAATGAAGGTCAAGAAATGTCTGCAAATAACTGGTAATTTTATTTTATTTTTTATTGCTTACTACATTACTACTTTTATTAAATTATTGCTAAAAAGCATTGTTAATAAATATATTTAATAACTAAATAATTGCATATCAATAGATATATCTAACATAAATATATTGCAAATTTAGTTCTTTCACAAAAATTAAAAGTAAATTAATTTTGTAAGAAGTCTTACATCTTTATGATCTATGAGAAAAGGCACTAAATATAATGGATTATGCTTCAAATTAAAAATATTAATTACAAATTATTATTATTTGTCAAATAAGTAACATATATTTCATAAAATAAAATTTTCAGTAAATTATGCTTTTCAATTTATCTTCCCTTAATACATTAATATAAATCATGAAAACTGTATGTATATAATCAGAGCCAGCACTACCGATAATTTAGATTAATTTTATTTTTAATATACTTTAAGTAAAATAGTCATTAATTTATATATATTCTTACTAGAAATTCACAATAAAAAAATATATATATATACAGTATAGATTATTTTTAAATTCTTTGTTTAGAATAGGCAAAATTTTCTAACAAAAACTATCAAGAAATTCTTTCAGATTCAATAAAACAAAAACGCATTATGTTTTTAAATCATTTTATCAATTGAATACTATTGCTTATTTTGTAATTCAGAAATATGCTTCCACTTATAACAGAGAACTAAATGTTTTTATAACAAACTATTTATTTTACTTTATTTCACAATAACATACAGCAATGTCATAATGAAAATAATGGCTGACCCTCTGAAAAATTATTTTGGAAGTCATTATTAATTTGGAAGAATAACTTTATAAAATTAAAATATTTTTAAAAAGAAAAATTTACCTCTATATATAAAACAAAGTAAAAAGTACAAATAAATTTATGAATAAATTAATTACTAAGAAATTAATACAGAGAAAGGAAAAGTAGTAAAGGTCTTTCCAGAAAGTAGTTATTAAAAGGATTAATATTCCAAAGTTTTCTGAAGGTACCAATTAATTGTTATCATTAGAGAATGATAAAACTTAATCTCTATAATTATTTAAACTGATGAACTGTTGCAGAACAAACAACACAAAAAAAATTTAATGTAACAATTCTTAACATTTCATATTTTCAATTAAAATATAATAATTATATTGCACCCAATTCTGTTTTTATACAAACTTTTTTTACACAATCAAGATTTACCTGCAAAGGGTCCCAAGCAAATTAAATTTTGAGAACTCTTGCAACTAAAAATAAAAAAAAAAAAAAAAAGGAAGCCAGAAGAAAGGCAGAAACTGAAAGAAGAATTAAACTCATTTATTACTAACACACAGCTTATTACTTTATCGTGTATATTACAACTTCTGACTCTTCTCAGCCAAACTGCTCAAATCACATCATCAAAAGTCAATTTCTGCAATTTATCATTCTCAATAAACATAAGGCTTACATCTGACAGTTTAAAACATTTATTTTCGTACACCATTGTACGCAAATAATTTTTTCACATGTTTCAGTGTGTTGAAGGATCTTTCACCTGAACAGTTTGTTATTGGTAATGTTAAAAATATTTGCATGATGCTTTTCAACAAAAATTTGATCTATGTTTTCTTCATAACTCAACAAGAAAACTTAGAAAAAAAATAAAGGAGAGAGGGTTCCTGACAAGGCAGCTCTCAGCAGGTTCCCCAAGTAGATACTTGCTTTGTTTCCTGATAATTATGTTGAGGTACATGATTTTGATTTACACAAATCAGAAAAAAATTTCATTCCCTTCTAACATGATTTGTTTTTATCTAACATGATTGATCCAAATTCTAAAAATATTTATTTTGTATTACAATGCATTGATGCATGCTTCACATTATTCACCTTTATGCTGTTGTTTTTTGTTTCAATTGGAAAAGAAATTTCTGAGAAATGCCCTTAATTATATATATCACTTCAATCTTTTTTACACATGTTCTTCAGGAACATAACTATTGTGTAAAAACAGAATTAGATGTATATAAAATTTAGTTTTATATTTTTATTATAAGTCTAAAATGTTTCTAGTTTACTAAAAAGAAATACACATACATATACTGTATATATATATATTTTTTTTTAAATTGTAAAATGATTTCTATTAGTAAATAATATAATGGATCTCTGCCAAATTTAAACACAAAAATATTATCATTTCCATTTTAAAATATCTAATTTCAATCCAAAGTTTTGTATTTATAAAATATATGAGTGAATTTCATAGCTAAAAACAATTAATATGAAATTATAAAACAAATTTATAGAATAATAATTGATAAAATACAATTTATGAATTTTTTTAGCCATGTCAAGTTAAACTTTTATGAAACAATATCATTTACATAATACTGTAAATGTTTAAATGAAGGTCAAGAAATGTCTGCAAATAACTGGTAATTTTATTTTATTTTTTATTGCTTACTACATTACTACTTTTATTAAATTATTGCTAAAAAGCATTGTTAATAAATATATTTAATAACTAAATAATTGCATATCAATAGATATATCTAACATAAATATATTGCAAATTTAGTTCTTTCACAAAAATTAAAAGTAAATTAATTTTGTAAGAAGTCTTACATCTTTATGATCTATGAGAAAAGGCACTAAATATAATGGATTATGCTTCAAATTAAAAATATTAATTACAAATTATTATTATTTGTCAAATAAGTAACATATATTTCATAAAATAAAATTTTCAGTAAATTATGCTTTTCAATTTATCTTCCCTTAATACATTAATATAAATCATGAAAACTGTATGTATATAATCAGAGCCAGCACTACCATTTAGGCAAACTAGGCAACTGCCTTGGATGCAAGGCCACGAGGAGCACAAAATTTCAAGCTATGCTTTATTCATACTTCATTAAAATATTAAATTAAATAGTGATATATGATTTAGGTATCAAATCTTTTTCCTTATCCCTCACACTATTTTACTATTTAACTATAGGTTCTTTACCTAAATGATTTGAACTTATCGCTATAAATAAAGTTTACATTAGACATTCCAATATATTAAAAGAATGATTGATTTCTTTCATATATCTCTGTTTTAATTCCCCGAATCATCACAGACAAGAAAAATTTTTTAAATATAAATCAATCATTTTTTTTACAAATGATATTTTATGTAATTTATTATACTATATATTAATGTTCTGTGCTTAAGTGTTTTAGTATTTTTAAAGAATTCTACTTATATGTAATTTATTTAATATTCAATAGGCTGCATATTTTATAATTGATCTATACTAGACCTATTGTATATATTTTATACAAAATTTTTCAAAGTTCAAACAACCTTTTAATTTAAGGATTAAACAATAAACCATACTTATGTAGAGAATTTAACGCAATAACATTCCAAAACTCCTAATTAAACTATAGAGGTGTTTTGATTGTATGAATTTTAATAATATTTATCATTGCATGTCTCTATTTATTTAAAAATTGCTACAAATTAAATTTTTATTGTTACGCTTCATTTATATATTCTATAATCATTTAATATCAATATTATATTATTAAATATATTACATTTTCATTGTATATTTCACCTAAATGAAATTGATAAGAATCATATGCATTGTTGCAAGTAATTGATCTATTAAATTTTATCTCAGAATTATATTGTTTTAATGTATGAAAATGTATAAACAAACATTTTCCAGAAAGAGTTTAAAGATATCTTATCGCTATCTAAAGCACTTTAATACTTTCTTAACATATTTATTCTAACAATTTTTGATTAAAATAATCAATTATTCTATTTATAAATGATTATACGGTGATTATACGTATTGTAACTTACCAGCAGGTATCTGTGCAATTATCAACAGGAGCGACCGCATTATCCTTGTTATCATGTTTCTGTTCGAGTAGCGGTAATAAAACAACTAGAACGATCAAAATAAAGATGATTGATATGGGAATACATGACGGCTTAATCCAGCCATTCCACCTTCTTTTTTCAACTGTTTTCTTTAACATGTAGCGAGAATCAAACAGCTGCAATTCGAATTCACCTACGTCTAGTTTACCAGTTCCTTCAACAACCGTCTGCAGAAAATCAAAAATAACAAATTCTCATTAATAAAGATTATATTTCTAAAGGAATGTCGTTTTAATTTTTTTTTTTTTTTTAGTCATTTCTAAATTTAAAAATTAGCATTTCTCCTCTTTAAATACTTACTGAATTTGCAAAAAATTCAATAAAAAAAAAAGAAGTTATTTTTAAGAAGAAAATAATTAAATATTTATAGATTTTTGATAATTATGCGTTTAAAATTTCATCCAAATATCAAATATGTGTTAAATATAATGAAAATATTTTAACAAAAATAAATCTGTATCGTAATACCTTTGCATATATAATAAGTACTAAATATAAATATTCTGGAATTATACTTTTATTTCCTTAAGTTATTTCATAACTGGGTGTAATAATTGTCATTTTCGTGCCTGACTCACGTGTAAGTAACACTTATATCATTGTTATTTTTAATTACAGAATGTTAAAGAGTTCTAAACTGATCTGGATCAATTTTTCCAAGGAAAAAATGTCGACTTGGGCTCCCATGCATCTCCATAGTATGCATCTATGGTATCTCCCATACTAGTTCTACTACGGCATAAACACAGAACTGTTTCCATCACCTTTATGTAAACTAATGGACAGCGACTCCATTCTTATTCTAGGAAAGACTGACTGTAAGTAATTATATTCTTCTTCCTTTTTTTTACCCCCCTATAACACTGTTGATAATTCCGTTTTATATGAATTCCATGTTGTACGAGTCACTTAGATTTTACAAATACGTGTGCGGGGCTGTGAACGGCTCACGTATTTGTAAAATCTAAGTGACTCGTACAACATGGAATTCATATAAAACGGAATTATCAACA